GGTCTGTGATGGGCACTTATACAGTGCTATACACGTGTTCCGGCCTTGCACAGCCTTCTTCAATAGCAAGTGCCTTTCGTCTTAGGCAATCCTCTTGGCGAGAACCCAACCCCCTACATAGAGAAGGCCCAGACGTAGTACATTTCATACAGTGAAAATACCTTTGAATGGGCAGCGTCGTTCACTTGAATGCTGTTGGCTGGGTCGTCAAATATATCGTACATTTCGTTTTAACCGCCTTTCCTATGGGGAGAGTTAGGTCCCTACTCTCCGATAGATTGCCTACGACGAAAGGCACTGTGCCACTGACGAAGCTGTGCAAGTCCGAAACACGTGTATAGCGCTGTATAAATGCCCATAACAGACCGCATGCATGGCTCAAAACTAACTACAAGGCATATTAAGATTCAAAGATTTAATTGAAACTAAAGACATGATTCTATGGAAACGATCATCACCGAATCTGTTTCAATTCTTGTACAGAAAATCATGTATGTATTTAGTCATCCTCATTCGCTCTAATCTGGTTCGATCCAATGTCGTGATCACCGCGTCTCAATGTCTAGGTAAATTGTCTACCGCCTTGATTTCAAATCGAATCCGTTTGGCAAGGGTAGAACCTTGGACTATTTTGTCGTTCTTGCGAAGGTATGAAAAAAAATGATCAGCTATCATCCAAAATCTTCAATTGCCTAAAAATATTATTCATTTTTCCCCTTTTCAGTTTATGTTGAACTCTTCTCTTTTTCTTGGTGTGTTGGTTTTTTCCAAAAGTAGGCAAGTAATAAAAATAAAATGCGAATTAATTAAAAATAATGAATAGAATATTAAGGCTCAGTAAAAATTGCTGATTAGAACTGTAACTGATTAACAATAAAAATTCAATAAATTTCTTCACAAAGATTCGTCGATGTCACGCGACAGTGCTATCTAGGGAGTTCCCCTTTGGAGAAGAATGATGAATCTCACACTTTTAGTAATAACTTGCATTCTCGTAGCTTGACTTTAAGCGCTACTTAAGCTTGGATAATGCTTCTGTAAAATAGATTTATGCTTTGTCTCCCTGTCAAGAGCATTACATTTTTATTTCTTCATTAGATTTTCATTTTCAACGTTAGATTTTCGTTGAGCTTCGGTTTGGACACAATTTTCCGCATTTATTGACCTGTTAATACGGGGTTTTTATAGATCATACCGTTTGTTTCGAATGTACTCTTGAGACTACGCTCAAATTTCAATATATATCTCATAATTATTATTTGAGCCAGCATGTCATGTGGTCTGTTATGGGCTCTTATACAGCCCGATACACGTGTTTCGGCCTTGACAGGCTTGTATCTTCATAGATCTTTATTATAGTTAATGTTATGGTGGTTAACCTCCATCACAACCTCGACGATTGGAAACGAGTGCCCACAACAGTTGTTTTTGCGATGTTGGTCCTCGCCGCTGTCCCATTGAGACGAATCGAGTATCGCCGCACAAATGAAGTAGCGTACTCAACGTTGACTTTTCATTCTCGATTCCAGACTCGTTGAAGTTACCTAACATTGTCTGGGACTTCTTCACGATACACAAAACTGTCAATTGCTCTTCCAGTCACAGTCCATCCCTCAACAATGGGATTAGAGCTACCTGACATATACCGAAGCAAACGTTAATTCCAATCTTTATTGGACCTCGGTGTAGATGGACTTAGTCCCTTCAACGTTACCGCAGCCCCACTTTTTGCGGCAACGCTGAGGACGGTACTTCACTCGTGGGTGATCCACTCTACTCGCTTCGTCTCGACACCACTGCTACGATGACTAACATCGTAAGAAGAACAACTGGTGTGGACACTCGAGTTGAATTAGCGTGGCTTTTATGTAGACGAAACCATCGAAAGTTGATTAAATAACGATTCACAGACATTAGTGGAAGGAGAACACCCATTGATGTAGCGGTGTGTGGAACCTTTGCATCAGGTAGGACTTGGTCCCATCTCTCACCCTACCCGGGGGGGGGGGGGGGGGATGCGTGGGAGCCGTTGCACTACCAACGCCTGGTTTGACACCATTCTTTCTACGTTATAACGCATCTATCTGTCACTAGCCAGTTATCAAAGGTATGGCACGGGTAGTTGCTATCGACGCTGAACTCAATCATGCTGACAGAGATTGCCTATCAGATGACCAAACAAAATTCCTTTTTATTCAACCACTTCTAGCGGTGATATGATACGAGACAATATTGGTTCGAAGTAAAACATACAAAAGTACGTAAGTGCCCTCAAGGGACTGTTGGCGCAAGGAAGTAAACATGTAGACAGAGGAAGAAATGTGCTTTGTGTGCAGAATCTGCGTATCGGTGGACAAACAACTGTCACATGTAGGTGGTTAGCACGCGATTGCAGTTGAATGATCGCGTAGTCATGCGTGATAACTTATCGGAGCAGCGACATGGTCACATGGATGAACAAACTCTGGTCGCTAAATCTGACACGCGCCTTGTTTGTTATTGCATTGTACTTTGTCCTGGACTGCACATCGCCATCAATAAGTCGTTGAGTTCAGAAATGGAGGTGACCGACACGTGTGACTCAAGTTTGCTTGTGAACCATCGCGTATAAGCGTTTCGCACGAGCTTTTCTATATAGAGGAACACTGCTGTTCAGATTTCTATGTATGCGCGCGCTCTGGTGGAGAAAAAGACAAAGCGATATGGCGTGTGATTTTTGTTCCGTAAAGTAGTTCGGAGAGGTTGGGAGCAGACTGCCCGTCCTATCATTAAATACTGTGATTACTCAATCTGAGGGACCGAGATAGTTGGGCAAAATTCACATTTGTCTTTCTTACTCGCAATTTTCCAGTCATTTTATGTTTTACGATGGGCGCTATCGAGAAAAGCCAATGATTAATCAAATGCTTTGAATTCCTAACGTAATGACAACGTAGATGATTTTCCGAAACTTTGAAGAGATCATGAGAATAAAAACAAAGACTTGCTGTACTATCAAACCTTCTACAATTGCAGTGAGCACGTCCAAGATGAAATCTGTTCTTTTTTTCATAATATATATTTATGTTGAGCGTGAAATCTCTGTGATTAGAGAAGTCCGTTCAATAATACAGGCCACGTCAGTGGCTAAACATTACACCGGGGTTGATGAAGCTTATCATTCAGTGTGGTTAGGGCAACAGTTTCAAACTTTTGGAAAAAGTTCTCTGCAACCCAGAGAAGCTGAAGATTGTTTTTAGTGGGACCTGGAAACAGCCAAACACGACTATCTCAGGATTCCAAAGAGGAATCCACCTGAATTATTCCATAACACCTTCATGAATACTGAATGCGAAGAAACCAATCGAACGAAAACGTTTGATCCGTACAATATGAATTGTTGTGTCATGTGAATAAAAAAGAAAGGATCAATAATCGGACAGATTGTGATTGATTGTAACTGATCGGAAGAGATTGTTAGTACCTAAGTTTTTCATTACGGTACTGGGTGATGTTTCGGGGGCTTCACCGTCATCAGAGCCCGTTAAAGCCAATCCTAAACGAAAGTTCCTTTGTCAGACACTTTCATAAATGTGTTATTAAAACTTTTAGATAAGGTTATAAAAGTGCTCGACTGAGTGGATTGAGTGTAAGTTTGAAATTTTTCACGCTCTGAAGAAGGTTACAACAACGAAATAGCCAACGTTGTCTCGACGAGTCTTTTGATTAATACCGAAGTCAAGAGGAAGTTAGTCCCAGAAAAAAATTCTGTTTTTATTTCTCTGATTCGCTACCCAAATTTAGGACCACGGGGCATGAACTGCGAGTACGAAGTGTTTATTCTTCCTGGAGGAAAGAGGAAATATTACTTGCTTTTCCAGAATATGTTATTTCATTTTTAGTTATTTCTGTGTCTGCAGTTTGGCATTGAAATTTGAAGAAAAATGGCAAAAAGTCCTGCTGTAAAAGTCCTTCAAAGCATTACTCGTCGAATTCCATTTCATTTTCGCAATTTTTCACTCTGTCAGCGAAATCTGTCCCCATAATTGGATGTGTATATTCTACACCACAGCGTCCATTTGTATTCTTGTATGGCTCCGTTAACTCATCAATTTTTCCCTAACTTTTAATGGTTGTGAAATGAACAGATTCTGTTTGTTTTTACGATTGCGTTCATAACGATTCTTTTGCTGAATCTTCGCCATACAAGATCTTGAACATCACCTTTTTTCCACTGTCAAGTCCACAACCCTATAGTCATTGGCCCTGTTGTTTTTACAGTTGTGGCGTCTGTTTTTCCTGACATTTCAGACCACTACGTGGTGGTTTTTTTGTTTTTCCAACAGACTAGATAATTTTATGTTTGCAAAGCGTTGTTTGTCTCACAGTAATCGCCGATCGCCGAGAGGTATTATGCTCACACATCGGAATACGTACACCGCCTACCCCCACGTCAGCGCCTGCGCCTCTCCAGCACTGCACTTGATTGTGCCAGGATGCCTGGGTATCCGTCAGGGCAAACACTATTGTCGCTATACACGTGGTCCGCTCAAGCGCACTCGATAAACATAGTCCTGCTTCGAAGCTGAGTGCTTGACTCCGCCTGCTCAATGCGAATCGGTCGCTGTTCATTACGGTCCTGACCGTCCTAGATCCTATCGTATACATTACTTTCAGTAGCTATTGTTCTTTAGATGACTCAAGCTTAGTAACTACAGTAATGGCCTAATTACATAGAACGGTGCATGCCTCTATGACCTTGCTGCATCTCCCATTAATCTCGTCGCTTGTAATTTACTGCTGGCAAACACTTTGACTTTCCATCCGTCATTGAACGCACTCTTTTCACCTTGACGAAATTCGATGGCATTTGAATTTTGAAATGAAATTCTCGAGGGAATACATCTTTACTATTGAGTTTATTCCACAGTAATCAGTCAGAATTCATTTTATTTGACCACGTATTGCGTCGTATGATGCTGTAATAAACCCAATAATGTAGAGTGCTGTGTAAAAACATTTGTGTCAGCCAGGATTCGAACCCAGATCTCACTCTTTCTGAGAGCGTGTGCTAAACCGTTGCACCATCGACGCTCTTTTTGCATAGCAATCTTTCTATGCTACAACGCGTTATCTATTAACAGCCAACCGTCTACGGTGTGGCGGGGCAGTCACTATCGACATTGAACCCATTTATGCTGACAGATACTGGGTTTGAATAATCAATCACAATTCATTTTGTTTGACCGTGTACTGCGGCGGTATGATATTGTAATAAAGCTATAAAAAAGTGCTGTGCGAAACGAACGTCGGTGGTGCAACGATTCAGCACACGCTCCCGTAAAGAGTGAGATATGGGTTGCAATCCTCCCCGCTGACGCAGATGTTTTTGCGCAGCACTCTACATTATTGGGTTTATTTTAACAGTAATCGTCTTGAAGTAACAATAGGAAATCTCCACTTTGGTGAATCACAAAAGGGATCGTTTTAGGGGTTCAAACCATTGTCGAGCGCTTGTAAAGCATTATAATGCTATTACACCTCGAGGATTTGATGGATAGTCGCCATAATTTTCGAACATTCCATTTAGATAAATGAAAGCTCATTCAAACTGAAGGATTGTGTTCACGTAAAATTCGTAACAGATAAAGTGCAAGTTTTATTTTTATCAACTTTTTGTTGGCTTGTCAATGAAGGAATACATGTTGACGTTTGAAGTCCTCACATCTTTTACTATTCATTCGCATAAAAAACTGTTTAATACACTATCGGGTAGTGAGACATATTTGATCTTACATCGTAAAAGAAACATTTAGACCTACAACCCCAAGTAGTCTTGAGAGCAATAATCCTTTGATCCATGCAGATGTACAGCTTCGTACTTTTGTTATCCCATCAATCAAGCAATGCGTCATGAAATCGGCGTCCCACTAAATGAGATTTTAGTGTCCACTGAGTTGTGGCGATCGTCAGTTAGTGAATTCCTATGCTCGTTGGTTGCAGCTGACGTTGACAGCTATCTAGCAAAACAACCGCGTTCTCAACGAATCGCTTTGTGAACATATCTGAAGTGTCTCTACTTTGCTTTAGATGACTCCATCATAAGAATTTGTTCCTTTTTCGTATTTTTAGTCAATCACTAGACCTTAGTGAGAAAATCGTCATCGCTTATCAATGAATGACCAGAGTATTTGGACTGAAAAAGGTTTCCTGGCTCTAACTTAGCAACGATTGAGCGTCAACGGTAGTTAAAATATTTGAAACCGGTTGATTTATAGTGACGGGTACATTAATATTTTTGCGATCTTAAAGTATAAATCGAAATAAAGTACTTAATTCTTTCATAAGCTCTCATATTTAACGATAACAGCAGAATAGAAACTTGGACCAGTTCTGGCATGGCTTTTTTGGGTATTGAGCTTCTTGACTGGGTCACTGATTTGGATCTAACTTCCGAAAGGAACTTTAAATTTATAAGTGTTGAAGAATTTTCACTGGAGTGCTATTCCATTATCCGTTATCGATATACTCCCAGATTTTTGAGGAACTTGAGTTGGTCGAGGAGTCATTTTCGTGCTTTGTAGACGAATTAATTGAATCTAGGTTTTTTTAACAAGCAAGGAGAGCGAATTAAATTATGGATTTTCACTTTTTTGTTTCTTCTCTATTTATTGAACAAGTTCGTTGGCCCTGACGTTCAGCTTCAATCTCAAAGTTTTGAATCAATACTTGTCTTGATCGTTGCGATTTCTGCTTCTCATATCTTCTTTTGTTTACATCCTTCCAATCATCCGAAATTTGTAAATTGAGTTTCTGTTCTGCCTATTTTATGCTTTTCTCATTATTATCTAGCAAAATCACTTGAGTTTTCTAATGTTCATTGTTTTTTTAAATTTTCTGTAGTGTATTTTCTATACGTTATTTTTGGTATTGATAACATTGTGAGTTGAAAATTTTTACTAGGGATCTCTTTGTGCATTACTGCGGTACTCAGAACTCTTGAATTTCCTAGCGCTGCGACGCTGATTGTAAAAGTGATAATTTCAAAGATTTGTAATAGAATTGATAATGTGCTGCATATACAATTTTCCGTCGTCCTCCATCATATGAAACATTTCGGGTCAATCATTAAGTTGCGTGACGCGTTCCAAGGTTATGAGAGACCACACCTTCTTCCCTGAGGTTTAGACTAGAGCGATAAGCTCTCCCGAGAGCTCTTATCTTGAAAACTGCCTAGAGCACTTTCCGTTTCTTGTAGTCGTGACCATGCGATTGTTGCTTTCGAGTAACTGCACGAGTTACTTCCTGTTGCTGATTCTTTCACGATAACGCTGCACGCATGATCTTCGTGCTTTCCTCTTGATGTGACCGAGATTGCCGACAATAACATGAGTTACTTCCGTGTTAGAAATTGGTCATAACTGCTAAAAGCACTGTGGTCGGTGATCAGCATCTATGTCATTTTCATTGTCCGCCTACGCTTGGCCTACCCTGCAGTGTTCGACGTACTTCGTTTTTTGTTTTTGTTCATCTTCGTGTAAACAGCGCTTTTGCCCTTTTATAAAAGCCTAACATTGCACTATTTTATGAGAAACGTTGCAGATGAGGAGTGATTCTTGATCATGTTCTTTTTATTTTCCCTTCTGCTGTCTAAGATTCTTAACAACTCATGGCATTGATAGCTAGTAATTATACTCGTGTAAAGTTATTCCTACTATTCTTCAAGCAGGACTTTCTTGGAATAATAAATTACCATCGTCAGAAATCATTCCAACAATATGTATATTAATGATAAAATGACCGCTCTAAATCTCCTCATCTTTATTTGGTAGTACCTCTGAAAATCTACCGTACTCGTGCCCCATTTTTTCGCTCTCATCTTTGCCGTGTACCGCTGCTCACCATCTACTGTTTACCACCTTAAAGAAAATTAATAAGTGTTGTAACCGGATGATCTATTCAAAGATCGAAAAAAATGCGCTATACATGGATCATTTCAGGTTTTTTTTTTGCGGTAAAAGAAGATCTGAATGATGAGCTCCTCGGAACAAGCTGAAACGTATGTCACCAACATATTTCACAGCCTTAAAATATCTTGTATGTCAAAAATTACGAACTTCTTTCCCAGTTAATAGCTTATAGGACAGGTTCATATAGTCTCTAACCTCACTAAACAAGTTTTTGCTAGTTGCGCAGCAGTGTATATTTGAGACGAGATCTACTGAACGATGTTAAAATTAGATAACGATTCAAGGTGTTGAGGTTACACTGAAAAATTGGGTGAACCTAAATCAGGTCGTATTGGGTGGGGGGGGGGCTTTATGAACTCGGGACTTGTTTCTTTATCCTCTCGGACAAACCTAATACTTTGACGATTTTGCAGATGGGAGCGTTGCCTATCTCAAGGCATCTGTTCAAAGCAATGAACGCGTATTTATCGAAGGGCATCTCTCACTAATATTCTCTACTCACTCAATATTCTGCTCAAAATGAAGAGTTCAGTGCGAATAAAGAAGTTTAATTTTTTCAGCGATCTATCAGTAAGCCTGCCTTCGTGCTCACAGACCTCTACGACTCTCGATATCGATGTACTCATTACAATATTTGAAAAAGCTGCATCGATTGGAAACATTCGACACGTTCTCACGTTGGCGGTGAGTTCTTAGTATCTTCTAGACACTTAATGGAAAGTATTCTCAATAGGTTTTGAAGAAGTTTTTTTTGTGCAAAGGTTGAAATTCTGTTGTTGAAAGGAATGAACGGTGGGAAATGATGACATCATGCTAGACTAGAGAGAAACTGATTTCACAGAAAAGCAATTACTGCTTGAAGCTTCTTTTATACCTGAACATGTGCGCGGGCATATAAGATTAGAACATTCAAATTCAAGTGGGCACTTTGATGTGAGTCAAGTCATTTCTATAGTTTGAACCATTATTTCATCTTCTATTCTTGCAAGCTTCGCACTCATTCTTCATTACTCCTCCTATGTACGAGGAAAAATTGTATGGGATGTCATCAAGAAAATTTTCATCCACTCCTTGAACCTTGAAAATTCCTTAATTACTGCCTAAATGCAGTAGTGCAGGTAGTGCAGATTTTTGCGACGATATCTTGCTTATGAAAAAATTGTTGACTTTGAAATTTGACGCTGTACGAACAAGTTCTCACCATGATAAGAACCATTAAACGGACGCAGTGTAGGTGAAATTATAGTGTATCTAGATTCGGCATTACGAATTTATTGGTTGGTAAAAGTGTAGCTGCTTTCAAATCACACTATCATTAATCTGTTTGCTCTCAGCTTATCCCTAGAAAAATTTTAGATTCTGCTTTAATATTCTGATAATCTTTCACTGATGCTGTAAAAGTAGTGTTTAAAAATTAATACACAACTCATAGTTACCAACCAATGAGAATTTGCGCTTTTCATTGTTTATATCCACAATTTCTGGGCGTTGATGACTATACTGCTCCGATTTTAGTGGTTCATCGGCTTTTATTTGATCACCTGCCTTGATGTAGACAAACGGTTCTCTCCTGGAATAAGCCGTAAGCCACAGTTATATGGTGGTCGCCCATATTCCAAATGTCAGTCGTAAGAAATCATATCGACAATGTTTTGCCGCTGCTTCCAACCAGAGGCTGTCAGTTCACTTCAGATAAACTGTTTTCGATCATTTTGTGAATGTGAGGAACTGCACCAGACTAGTCATCGTAGACCTGAGTGTTGTTCTCATTTTCTGACTAATTTTTTAATTCCTAAGATCTTCATGAATTATAACAGGAAGAATCTCCATAGTCTTCACAATTACTTATTCGAACGGTCGACCGAAAAATGTTTAATTTGGGTGGGGAAATCTAACGTCAATCTAAATAAAATTTAGCCCAATGAATTTGTCAAATTGAATAAAAAGAGAGGAGAATGATAATTTCGCGAGGTGCCGTCATTTGTAGTTCATTTGAAATAAAAGTTCATAAATAATCTGGTACAGAAAAGAAGGCAAACCTCATCTGGGTGGAAATTAGGAATCCCGTGATTATTCAGTGGGACTCAATGAAACTTTGAATTGTGTGAAAACGACCACATTTTC